CAGGTGCCCCCTTGCTGGCCGCCCACTGGACTGCTGTGGAGGAATCAAAACCTCTGTGTCCCTGGATCTCTGGGTGTTTTAAGCCTCTCAAATGGGAATATAGCCAGTCTCCAAGTCTGTAGGCACACTCAGGCACAGACCTTCTATCTGGCATCTTCTGAATGCTGGCACCCGCTGTTTAGGTTCCTAGCCTCTTTGAGCACATTGCTGACCCGTCAGACAGTCCCATACGTAAACACACTTTCTCCAAGAACTCCGCCCAAAAGGTCTGAAGCATCTGGCTTACAGTTTAACTTTCTGGAAGCAACATGGTAGTAGTAAAGCATTCAGCACACACTGACACTTTGCCCAAAGTCTAACACAACTGCTCTTTTGCTTAATTATATAAAGCACACAAGAGTACAGATCCCCAAAATAATAGCCTGTACACACCTTTCCTTGCTCAGTTTCCTCACCACTCCAGAGCCTTCTTTGGGCGTGTGTCCATCCTTCCTCCAGGCACGGGAGTGCAGCAGTGCCATCAACGCCATCTGTCTCTCCTTCATAAGCAGTCTTCACTCCAGCCTCCACAGCTCTGGGCTTCTCGCCATCACCATTACATCTTATCGACCATCTTGGGAACAGTCTGTGGCACCATCTCTTTGGTTACCTGCCTACCCTCTAGGAGGGAAAAAGGGGATCTAGTCTTGCCCCTGGCTTGGAGCAGCTGCCCCATCCATCCCATGATATATGTATGCAGTGTGGCCACCAATTCCAATTTTTCTGATCAGCAGAAGCCAGACCTCACTGTGCACACAGGCTCAGAATCTGCTCTTTCTTGAGCTGTTCCTAATTCATATTTGGCAACTATTTTTACCCAAGGCAATTAAAAGATCTGCTCCTGGCTTTCAGACTAACAGCAGAAGTGAAGTCCCTTGCAAAAGTGTTTTTAAAAGCTTCTTATACTACTACACTAATCCCAAGCACTGCCACCATTCTGCCGTAGATCCGGTCAGACACGCTCTTGCTGGCCACCCAGCAGACTACAGTGAAGGGAGTTTAAGACTCTGTCCCTGGATTCCAATCTTCTAGAGCCTAAATGGGGGAGTCCAGCCACTGCCCCACTTTTGGGGTCCCTAGGCACACTCTCAGAGCACAGACCTTCCATCTAGCATCCCCTTCTCAGAGCTGGAACCCACTGCCCAGCTGCCTACCTCCTCTGGGCAAGTCACTGACCCTTCGGACTCTCCCATACTTAAATACACCCGCTCCCAAAACTCCACCCCAAAGGTGTGAAGCATCTGGTTTAGTTTAACTCTCTTAAGAGGCAACATAGTAGTTGTAAGCATTCAGCACAAACTGGCAATTTGCCTAGTATCTAAAGCTACATCTACGCTACAAGCTAGGGGTGTGGTTCTCAGCTTGTGTATGTATACTCAGGCTAGCGCGCATGAACTAGCGCGAGTATAGATAGTAGCATAGCCACGGCAGTGAAGGTACAGCTTGGCATGGCTAAGCTGTATTGCTACTGTCACTGCCCATGCTACTGTGGCTACACTACTATTTATACTCACACTAGCTAGCATAAGTGCGGACGTGAGCTGTGAGTCACACCCCAGCTTGTAGCGTAGCTATAGCCCAATGCAACTGCTCTTAATCATATAAAGGGCAAGAGAGTACACGTCTACAAAACAAAACTCTGTACGTGCCTTTCCCTTAATTTCCTCACCACTCCAGAACATTCTTTGGGCTTGTGTCAGAGTTCCTTGGGGCCGTCTCTGCCCAGTAAAGCAGGCAGTTTCGCTGCTTCATGCAGGCAGTCACATGTTGGATGGCTTCTCCCTCAGAGAATCCTTCCCATTTTCTGTGACTTTGCTCTCTCCTCCTGCCCAATGCTTCCTTTTCCAATCTGACTTCTGTTCTTTTGTGTTTTGCTTATTTAAACCCCTCCTACTCAGCTGCTTTCTTTGTTCTGTCTCCTGGTAGCGACCCACTGTTTAAAAAAAAAAAAAAAAAACACCACCACAACCCTCCCCTCAAATGGAGGAGGAAGTAGCTTTTCCCTTGGGATGCAGTTTCTCTTTTGCATAACTTTTGCCCCATCATTAGCCTTAAATACCTTCCTTTTTTCCTCAGTAGTGCACCTGGTGCATGTTCTGACAGCAGTGGTGGATCCTCATAAAGTGAAGCGTTCATGATGTAGCAATTTTAATAAGAACATTTCATAATCCATAATGTCAAAAAAGAATTCAAAAGTTGGATGGATTCCCAAATTATCATGTTTTGTCCATGCTTACACTTTGTGTGTGTTTTGTCTGTGACAAAATATACCTTCATATAGAGAATCCCTCATGCAAATAAACTGAATGACAAAGGCACCTCATTGCACCTAACTCAAGCTTACCAAATTTTTGCTTTTCTAATTTTAGCTTTCACCTTATACGCTTCCTAAATGCTTTAGCCCCTGCCACCAAATTAATCATTTAGTTCTGTGTTGTGACATTAATAGGCAAAAGTATCCACTTTGTGCTGTTGTAACAATCGTGTTATATGTATGAAGTTACTGGAACCTCAACTTCTTCCATATTGTTAAAACAACTAGGAGTCCTTGTGGCACCTTAGAGACAAACAGATTTATTTGGGCATAAGCTTTCATGGGATATAACCCATTTCATCAGATGCATGGAGTGGAAAATACAATAAGCAGGTATAAATATACAGCACATGAAAAGATGGAAGTTGCCTTACCAAGTGGGGGGTCAGTGCTAACAAGGCCAATTCAATCAAAGTGGATGTGGCCCATTCCCAGTAGTTGACAAGAAGGTGTGAGTATTAAGAGAGGGAAAATTATTTTTTGTAGTGACTCAGCCACTCCCAGTCTCTATTCAGGCCTAATTTGATGGTGTCAAGAATTGTCAAGTCAAGAATTGTAACATTCAACAACCAGTAGGAGAGCACTTCAGTTTCCCTGGACACTCAATAACAGACTTAAAAGTCGCCATTCTTCAACAAAAAAACTTCAAAAACAGACTTCAATGAGAAACTGCAGAACTGGAATTAATTTGCAAACTTGACACCACCAAATTAGGCCTGAATAAAGACCCCTTCTCGTCAACTGTTGGGAATGGGCTACATCCATCTAATTGAATTGGCCTCGTTAGCACTGACCCCCTATTTGCTAAGACAACTCCTATTTTTCATGTGCTGTATATTTATATCTGCTTATTGTATTTTCAACTCCATGCATCTAATAAAGTGTGTTATATCCCACAAAAGCTTATGCCCAAATAAATTGGTTAGTTTCTGAGGTGCCACAAGGACTCCTCATTGTTTTTACTGATACAGACTAACACGGCTACCCCTCTGAAACCTTGCATATCGTTGTAATCTTCAGCTAGGCATATGTATATAACAATATGTAACGTTGAGCTGTAATTGTCACGTGACCTTGTATTTACCTTGTTAAAATCTATGATTAGTCCTCGAACTGTAGTTTCTTAAAACACAATTAAGAATCACTAGTTGTTTAACTATCCTTGTTTAAATTGGGATTACTTTCAAGTGTATTATCCTATTTTATCATTTTTTATTTACCAGTAGTTTGAGACTCTTGATATTAAGTTGAATCATAGTTTTGTAACCTAGTTTTACTTTAATTAAATTTACATTTGGTTTTCAGGTACTATGTTCTTAAGTATGTTTATTGAATTGTTGCTGTTTCTTAACCATTAGTCTCTCTCAATGGGAAACATACCCATTTGATATGTTTAGTGTTCCAAGAAGTAATCGATTTAAATAGTGTTGATTTTCATGGCTGTTTGAATCTTATACTCACTTCTGTGATACTATTCCTTTGACATAGGTAATAGAATTTTATTTTGATTTTCTTTCAGTTTAGAATGTCATACTTAAAGTTGCTTTTCAAGCATTAATACCTTGTATCATTCATTTATTTACTTTTCTTTTTATGTGTTGTAACTTATTTGCATATTCATTCTTGACTGATTAATTTTTTGGTTTTCTTTTTGTCATCGTAATTCTGAAACATTTTTCTTTATTTCAAAATCAAGTTTAGTTATTGATTTACATGGCATCCCCTAGTTCATGAAAGAGAACTCTTGGTGGTAAATAGTCGGACTACCCTCTGAGTTTAGTATAATGAAATTATTAATAATTGCTATTCATCTTTTGAAAGTTTTTTTTTCCTGAATAAATTGCATGAGAAACAATTAGGTAGTAATTCCATCTATTTAATTCTTATTTCTCCCAGGTCTCAATTTTGATAATTTGGTTTGTGTTTCTTTTACTAATTTTAAGATAAAATTACTTGGTGCTTACACCCTTTCACCCCCATAATTGCTAGGATTTCTTTCACTTTTAATATACTTTACAAAAACCTTATTTTATATATAATATAATATAATATAATATAAATAAAAAAAAAAAAACCTGTAGGGCAATGCCTACAGTGTTCCGCAACATCAGCATTATACTTCCATCAGTTTTATTAATCAAATCACATTTTTAAAATTCTCATGATTGCTTTATATTTTTAACACTAATGCACAAAGATGAGTTTAGAAAGTCCATGAAATGTAATTAAATACAATATCCTAGTTTATTTTATCTGTCCAACATAATATTTAGTCATTGTTATATTGCAATATTTATTTGAATGTTTTGCTTTGCTTTGGAGGGATGAGTGAGGCCAGTGGTTTGTAAATTAGAACAACTCAGGGTAGCTACATGTCCAGAGTTTTAAAGAAATCTCCAAGCTATGAGGCATCATATAAAACATGTAATTTGTTAGAAGCCTGATTGTATGCGTATATTTCAGAGCCATCATACGCGGTTCATTCATTGAAATTACAAGGAATTCAAAGATTAACAGATTCAATAACATATAAATTTGGCGGAATGAGCATCTTGCCATTATGTTTGATGCAGAAATATCTACATGATTGTAATGTGTGTGACTCATACTTTTTATTCCTTTATAATTCTCATTTATTTTTACTCAGGTATGTTCTGTAGAACAAATTTCCAAACCAGACGAGAATGACAAAACAGATTCCAAAACAAAAAATGCAAAGAAGGCGTTAACCATTTTTAAAGGACCGTTATTACATATAAGGTAATAGTGTGCAATAGTAATTTTGTTTGCTTTGTTGCATTGTATATCGCTCACTTAAAATTAAATTAATCAGTTTTAAAACCACAAAAACTGAAATCAAGAGTTAAGTGATTTGACTAATCTTTAATTAATTTTTTGTCTTCTAAAAATTCTTACTTTGTCTGATATGAAATCTTCTCAGACTAGTTTGTTTTCCATTCAACAATTTTAAGTATCTGTAGCATACTATATTTATCTCTGTGGATGAACACCTTCAGTGATCCTTAATTTTTCCACATAGATCAAAAGTTATTTTTTGGTTGTTTTTTCAGTGCCATGTCTGTGCCTGTCACTACTTGACAGTCTAATGGCTTAACTGTATTAGCAAAGTGACCAGTTTAACTAAATTTTAAATGATCTAGTTAGACCAATGTAAACTCCATAAACTTAAACTAGTTTAACCCTTGCTTAAAATTGCTTAGCTTAAGTAAGATAACCAGGTTGATTTTTAAAACGTATTTCATTTGATTCCATTTTAGTTTCTGATTTAAGTTAAAACCAAATATAAACAAGGGTTAAAGTACTGTACGTGTGTCTATGTTAAGGTTTTGTACCAATTAAACTAGATCAATTTAGTTAACTGGTGCAACTTTTCTAATGTAGACAACGGACATGCTGGCCACTGCTTCCTAAAGCTCCCATTGCCCGGGAACGGTGAACTGCAGCCACTGGGAGCTGTGGTGGGCTGTGCCTGCGGATGGTCAATGTAAACAAAATGTCTCGCGGCCTGCCAGCAGATTACCCTAATGGGCCGCGTGCCAAAGGTTGCCAACCCCTGGTATGAGGGGTGGGTAGAGGGATAAAGTAGCTTTGAGGGAGAAGGGGTCAAAACAAGCTAAATTACTGTTAAGAAATTGGGAGAAAGAAAGGAACTGACCATGATTACTTAACATGACCCTCACTTTTCAGAAAAAAATTGTCAGGAAAAGGAATACAACAACACTTTTATGTGCACCTTTCAATGATTTTTTTTTTTTTTAACTAATATTTTCTTGTGCCAGTTCTCTTCCTTCCATTACTCATCTTTTTCTTACTTGGCTCATGCATTTGCCCTGCTTTCTCTATTCAAGAAGAATGTCAAATTCCAGAATGATGATACCAGTGTCATATAATTTTGAAAGAGGCATAACCAACTTTTTTCCAATTACATGAGAGTACCAAGGGAAGGAGAGAGATAAACCTTTAGTTCCTAGTGCACGCGCACACACAAAACACTTACACCTTTTACTGTTACCAGCTCTGGATTCTATCAAATTTAAATATGCTGCAGAATATTGTGGCAGCTTGCCTGTGGAGACTTAATTTACGGTGACTGTAACTGGTGGATAGAAAGCACTTTTTTTTAATAAACTCAAATTTGTGTTATGATAAATGATTTAGAAAGATTATTTGTGTTAAAAATAGTGGATTGCTCAATGAAAATTGTATAATCCAATTTTTAATTTATTTTCAATTAGTCCGGCAGAAGAGCTGTTTTTTGGATCCAAAGAAATTGGAGAGAAAAAATGCTTGATAGTTCTCACAAATGTGACTAAAAATGTAGTGGCCTTCAAGGTAAATATTATTTGTGTCTATACATTGTTTTGTTTTGCTGTCCACATGCCTTTCATTTGTACAGAAATATAAATTTGTTGTGGCAGATTTTGTGCAAAGTCCCAAATCTTTCATGGAATAAAGGTCAAATGAGATAATTAACAGTAAAAATAATGAAAGGGTGGTGTCCTTACTCATATTTGAGTGTCCAGCCATTGCTGGATCTCCCCTCCCTCCCCCTTATTCCAGGAACAAGTCATCAGCACTTTGTGATCAACTATGTCAAAGCTGCTGAAAAATCCATTCCCCATTAGCTCACCTTCAGAGGAATAAGTGCAGTCTCTATTTCATGTTCAACTCAGTAGCCGTATTTTTAGGGATGCAGGAAATTAAATGAATTTAGGTGTGCATAGACTTGGTTTACCACCACTTTGTACATGTTCTCTGCATATATACATGATTCAGGTTTCAAAGTTGTCAAACTAGCAACTTTCACAAGTATTACGTTCAGTATTTTTGTTTGTTTAGTGTTGTTTATATAAAAAAAGAAGAAATCCAGTCTTTGCCAAATAGCGAAGGACAAAACTGATAGAGGAAGAAATTGGAAGCATTAGCTTCTAAGACTACTCCCAAAAAGGAAAGGGGTGTGGGGTGTGTTTTTGTTTTTTAAATCTATTGTCTTCATTATTCCATCTTTTGGTAATAATAGAGGTCTGATAACATTTTAGGAACACCAAACCCTGTCTCTTCTCCTTTTTTGTAAATTAGCAGTAACAGAACTGGTAGGCGGAATCTGTTTAAATTCTGACATACACCATATGCTTGTTTTTATTTTTAGGTGAGAACAACTGCTCCTGACAAGTATAGAGTTAAACCAAGTAATAGTAGCTGTGAACCTGGTACATCAATAGACATAGTAGTATCCCTCCATGGTGGTAAGTAAAAACTCATAGGACACAATTTTCAAACAAGTCTACAGGAGGTACATGCACAATTAACAGCTCTTCTTTGAATTGGCCTCTATATATACTCAATTGTGGGACACACCTCCTGGCACTGTGAGCTTTGGGGCCTGCTAGAAGAGCAGTGGACTAACCATGGAGATTTGCTAAACATAACAAGGCACTCAAACTGCATTTTTTTTCTCCTTGGTACTGCTGTAGTATCACAGTTGACACTGCTTCATTATCCAAATTTTTTGCTGCTAAGATTGAGTGGGCCCATGTTCGGTTATCTGCAAGAATGGCTGAAGGCTGTTTTAATCTGTTGCAGTAGTTCCTAGTGAAGGATTTAAAATAAGCATCATATTTAGAGATGTATATTGAGGCGATTTGGTTTGAATTATTTTCTTCATCCAGTAGACAAGTGTTCTGTTAATCACTAATGCAATTAACAGTAGTCCTGTCTTTTTACCAAAGTGCCAGGATTTTGAGTGTAAAACAATGAAAATGAGGTTGGCTTCTGGAGAAGTTGAACAAACACATACAATTTATTTCATTCAGTACAGATAACAATGCTAATATTTCATCCATGTGATTTGTAATTATACTGAAATTGTACTGCTTACTGATATTTGATGGAAAAGAAAAAATTCAAAGGTTGAGCTATGGAAGTAAAATGTAAGTAATTTTGGGAATACATTTCTATAAAGAGCAGTTGCATCTTTCTGCCTGGTTAGCTCTTGTATAATGAAATGATATGGAATTTTTTAACAAATTTTAGAGAGGAATGTTTAGCATGAGTGAATAATAAATTCATTCTTTATATTTCCCGTAAGATATTGCCAGACATGTCTCTAAATGAGAACTCATTTGGAAAATATTCCTAATTAAAAATGCATCACTATGTTTAATTTTCTTTTTAATCTCAAAGGGTCCACATGTTGAAATAATTTTGTTAAGGGTAATTGTCAAATTATACCATAAATCCACTAAAGTGGTTGTTAGCTTGTTGTCTTATGCCTCTATTGCTATCCAGCTGCTTTTTTACAAATTTTACCAAATGCAACAAGTCCATTTTGTGAAACAACAGCAACAACTAAGTTTTGGATTGTTCATTAGCACTGATTGGTTGTTGCATTTTAACTAAATAGTCTCCATTTGGAAAATTTTAATTCCTACGGTTTAATGTGTTTTCTCCTTTATTCCTGTGTGACTTCACAATTTTTTGATACCTATTGTAGTTGCAGTATCCCTACCTTCTTCGAGTGATAGTCCCTATGTGTATTCCACATGTGGGTACGCATGCATGCCACCCGGAAATGTTTCTCAGCAGTGTCCGTTGACCTACACGTGCATAGTGAGTCTCTTTGTGGCTCCCAGGCGAGGATAAGTAGTAGTGTCGGTTGATGCCACTCCAGTTCCCGCTCACCTCTGCATGGCCTCAGTCAGAAGCCCTGTTCCTTCACGCTCTTAGTCTACTAAGAGAGTGATTTTACTTTGTATATAGTATGTAAATAATTTCATTAGTATAGGTAGATAAGTTAACTTATAGCGCTAGGCAAGGCTGAGAGTTTCTTAATGAGGCTTTGATCTCCAAGCTCTTTAGCACCCAACAGCCCTTAACCGGGGGTGGGGCTACTCAGGAAGACATCCCTTAGGGGAGTATCTATTAATGAAGATTCTCTATGTCCTAGTAAGGAGTAGAGGATTGAAGATGATAAAATACAGGTAGGATCTGATGAGAAACAGTCATATGAAAAAGAGTCCCATTCAATTACATCAGGTAATGTCAGCCAGCTAAAAAGTGACAAGTTTTTAAAGAGCTTTTATACAAATGCTAAAGAAGTCTAAATAATAAGATGGGTGAACCTGAGTGCCTCATATTAAATGAAGATATTGGTATAATAGGCATCACAGAAACTTGGTGGAATGAGGATAATCAATGGGACACAGTAATACCAGGGTACAAAATATATCAGAAGGACAGAACAGGTCATGCTGGTAGGGGAGTGGCACTATGTGAAAGAAAGCTTAGAATCAAATGAAGTAAAAATCTTAAATGAACCAAACTGTACCATACAACCTCTATGGATAGTGATTCCATGCTCTAATAATAAGAATATAGCAGTAGGGACCTATTACCGACCTGACCAGGATGGTGATAGTGACTGTGAAATGCTCAGGGAGATTAGAGAGGCTATAAAAATAAAAAACACAATAATAATGGGGACAAGTATCAGGAATGGGGAATTTCAGCTATCCCCATATTGACTGGGTACATGTCCCCTCAGGACGGGATGCAAAAATAAAGTTTCTTCACTCCTTAAATGACTGCTTCTTGGAGAAGCTAGTTCTGGAGTCCACAAGAGGCGAGGCAATTCTTGATTTAATCCTAAGTGGAGCACAGGATCTGGTCCAAGAGGTGAATCTAGCTGGACTGCTTGGTAATAGTGACCATAATATAATTAAATTTAACATCCCTGTGGCGGGGAAAACACCACAGCAGCCCAACACTGTAGCATTTAATTTCAGAAAGGGGGACTACACAAAAATGAGCAAGTGAGTAAAACAGAAATTAAAAGGTACAGCGCCAAAAGTGAAATCCCTGCAAGCTGCATGGAAACTTTTTTAAGAAACCATAATAGAGGCTCAACTTAAATATGTACCCCCAAATTAAAAAACATAGAGAACCAAAAAAGTGCCACCATGGCTAATCAACAAAGTAAAAGAAGCAGTGAGAGGCAAAAAGGATTCCTTTTAAAAAATGGAAGTTTAAATCCTAGTGAGGAAAATAGAAAGGAGCATAAACTCTGACAAATGAAGTGTAAAAATATAATTAGGAAGGCCAAAAAAGAATTTGAAGAACAGCTAGCCAAAGACTCAAAAAATGATAGCAAATTTTTTTTTTAAGTACATCAGAAGTAGGACGCCTGCTAAACAACCAGTGGAGCCACTGGACAATCAAGATACTAAAGGAGCACTCAAGGACGAGAAGGCCATTGCGGAGAAACTAAATGATTTCTTTGCATTGGTCTTCACGGCTAAGGATGTGAGGGAGATTCCCAAACCTAAGACATTCTTTTTAGGTGAAAAATCTGAGGAACTGTCTCAGATTGAGGTGTCATTAGAGGAGGTTTTGGAACAAATTGATAAACTAAACAATATTAAGTCACCAGGACCAGATGGTATTCACCCAAGAGTTCTGAAGGAACTCAAATATGAAATTGCACAACTACTAACTGTAGTTTGTAACATATCATTTAAATCAACTTCTGTACCAAATTAACGGAGGATAGCTAATGTGACACCAATTTTTAAAAAGGGCTCCAGAGGTGATCCCAGCAATTACAAGCTGGTAAGCCTGACGTGAAGAACAAAATTGTCAGACATATAGATGAACATGTTTTGTTGGGGAAGTGTCAACATAATTTTTGTAAAGGGAAATCATGCCTCACCAATCTACTAGAATTCTTTGAGGGGGTCAACAAGCATGTGTACAAGGGGGATCCAGAGGATATAGTGTACTTAGATTTTCAGAAAGCCTTGGACAAGGTGCCTCACCAAAGGCTCTTACGCAAAATAATCTGTCATGGGATAAGAGGGAAGGTCCTCTCATGGATTGGTAACTGGTTAAAAGATTGGAAACAAAGGATAGGAATAAATGGTCAGTTTTCAGAATGGAGAGAGGTAATAGTGGTGTCCCCCCAGGGGTCTGTACTGTTCAAGATATTCATAAATGATCTGGGAAAAGGGGTAAACAGTGGGGTGGCAAAATTTGCAGATGATACAAAACTATTCAAGATAGTTAAGTCCCAAGGAGACTGCGAAGAGCTACAAAAAGGTCTCACAAAACTGGGTGACCGGTCAACAAAATAGCAGATGAAATTCAATGTTCAGGGGGGAGGGATAGCTCAGTGGTTTGAGCATTGGCCTGCTCAACCCAGGGTTATAAGTTCAATCCTTGAGGGGGCCATTTAGGGATCTGGTACTTGGTCCTGCTAGTGAAGGCAGGGGGGACTGGACTCAATGACCTTTCAAGGTCCCTTCCAGTTCTATGAGATAGGTATATCTCCATATATAATCTTGATAAATGCGAAGTAATGCACACTGGAAAACATCCCAACTATACATATAAAACAATGAGGTCTGAATTAGCTGTTACCACTCAAGAAAGAGATCTTGGAGTCATTGTGGATAGTTCTCTGAAAACATCCACTCAATGTGCAGCAGCAGTCAAAAAAGCGAACAGAATGTTGGGAATCATTAAGAAAGGGATAGTTAATAAGAGAGAAAAGATCATATTGCCGCTATATAAATCCATTGTATGCCCACATCTTGAATACTGTGTGCAGATGTGGTTGCCCCATCTCAAAAGATGTATTAGAATTGGAAAAGGTTCAGAAAAGGGCAAAAAACATTATTAGGGGTGTGGAACGGCTGCCATATGAGGAGACATTAATAAGACTGGGAATTTTCAGCTTGGAAAAGAGACGACTAAGGAAGGGATATGATTGAGGTTTATAAAATCAGAGAGAGGTGTGGAGAAAGTAAATAAGAAAGTGTTATTTACTCCTTCTCATAACACAAACTAGGGATCACCAAATGAAATTAATAGGCAGCAGGTTTAAAACAAACAAAAGGAAGTATTTTTTCACACAACATACAGTCAGCCTGTGGAACTCTTTGCCAGAGGATCTTGTGAAGGCCAAGACTATAACAGGGTTCAAAAAAGAACTAGATATATTTATGGAGGATAGGTCCATCAATGGCTATTAGCCAGGATGGGCAGGGATGGAGTCCCTAGCCTGTTTGCCAGAAGCTGGGAATAGGCGACAGAGGTTGGATCACTTGATGATTACCTGTTCTGTTCATTCCCTCTGGGGCACCTGGCATTGGCCACTGTCGGAAGGCTGGATACTGGGCTAGATGGACCTTTGGTCTGACCCAGTATGGCCATTCTTATGTTCTTATGTAGTGTAGTTAATATAGTAGTTCTCTTCCCTGTTTGGGAACCGCATCCCCCTCCACCCTGCCTCGGGGACTATCCCCAGGATCCCAGGCTTCAAAAACTGTGTCTCCTACCCACACTCCATCTGTGTGAGTGTCGAGTCTCTACTGCCTGGATGAGGCACACACCGTGGCACGCTGCACCCTCTGTAAATCCTTCCTGCCCAGGACCAGGAAGCCCACAAGCTCCGCCTCCGCAAATATAAGAACATAAGAAAGGCCGTACCGGGTCAGACCAAAGGTCCATCTAGCCCAGTATCCTGTCTATCGACAGTGGCCAATGCCAGGTGCCCCAGAGGGAGTGAACCTAACAGACAATGATCAAGTGATCTCTCTCCTGCCATCCATCTCCACCCTCTGACAGAGGCTAGGGACACCATTCCTTACCCATCCTGGCTAATAGCCATTAATGGACTCAACCACCATGAATTTATCCAGTTCTCTTTTAAACTCTGTTATAGTCCTAGCCTTCACAACCTCCTCAGGTAAGGAGTTCCACAAGTTGACTGTGTGCTGCGTGAAGAAGAACTTCCTTTTATTTGTTTTAAACCTGCTGCCTATTAATTTCATTTGATGACCCCTAGTTCTTGTATTATGGGAATAAGTAAATAACTTCCTTATCCACTTTCTCCACATCACTCATGATTTTATATACCTCTATCATATCCCCCCTTAGTCTCCTCTTTTCCAAGCTGAAGAGTCCTAGCCTCTTTAATCTCTCCTCATATGGGACCCGTTCCAAACCCTTAATCATTTTAGTTGCCCTTTTCTGAACCTTATGAATATCTTATGGAGGAGGTCATGCAGCCCCAGGCTCACTTAGATCCCGGCCAAAGAGGCGCCCCCCCCCACGCACACACACACACCTGGTACAGCGGCTACCATCGGCAGTGAGTGCCCCCTCCAGCCACAGTGCCTGCCTCGGAGCTCCATAGGCTAAGGACAAATCCTGATATGAGGGCAAAAAGCTCTGACAAGCACAAGAGCCAGGTCTCGGCAAAGGACTGCTCCCAAGCTCAGTGTTTCCAACTCAAGCCGAGTCGGGGAAGATGTCACGTGTAGATCCGGCTGGATCAGCACCCAAGATACCCCATATGCAAGGCAAGGCCAGGCACCAACGGGATCCAATGGTACCGACGGTCACCCGGACACCCAAACATCTGGAACACTCACCGGCATGCGCAACACCACTCATCCCTCTGTGTTTATGCACCATATCACTATCCACTTCATGAAAGGATTATTCAGCACCTTTCCACTAGTGTTGAAGCCCACACACTCATGTGCCCTTAATCTCATTCTCTTCGCCCTCACAAGACCACCCTTTGAACCAATGGCCACATACTCTTTCTCCCACTTCTCAATGAAAGTGGCATTCTTGGTAGCCATAACCTGACCAGACAAGTCAGTGAGCTTGCAGCCATGATAGCAGACACCGCCCACCCGCCCCCCACACACACACACGATATTCCACAAGGACAAGATGTCCTTATGGCTGCACCCCAATTCCTTCTAAAAGTGGTATCTGAGTTCCACCTCAATCAGTCCATCCACTTGCCAGTATTCTGCCCGAAGCCACACGCCTCCCCACTGACAGGGCCCTGCACTCCCTTGATGTCTGATGCACGCTAGTGTCCTTCCTCCACAGGACTGGACCATTTCAAAAATCACTTAAACTATTGGTGGCCATTCCAAAAGATCAAAGGTACAAGCCCTCTCATCCCAGCCCATCTCCAAATGGGTCTTGGAGCGCATCCTCAAATGCTACAAACACTCCAGCTATTTCCCCCAGGCAGGGTCATGGTTCATTCTACATGGGCGCAAGTCGCCTTCTCAGCCTCACTGGCGGATGTGTCCTGGCAAGACATCTCTCGAGCTGTGATGTGGGGTTCTGTCCACACTTTCACGGCGCACTACACCATAACACAAGTGGCAGTGACAGACACGGCCGTGGGCAATGCCATACTACAGACCGCAGTGCCATTAGTATCCTCACACCCACCTCTGTGTTGATCATTGCTCGCAAGACACCCATGTGTGGAATACACTTAAGGACCATCACTCAAAGAAGAGAAGGTTACTTATCTGTAACTGAAGGTTCTTTGAGTTGTGTGGTCCCTCTCTGTAGTCCACTACCCGCCCTCCATCCCCTCTGCTTTGAACTGGATTTTGTAATGGTAAGAGGGAAACTGGAATGGCGTCGACCCGCACTCCATATTATACCCTCATCTTGGGAGCCACTAGGAGACTCCCTATGCTCATGCAGGTCAATGGACACTGCTAAGAAACACTTCTGGATTCAGGTGCGTGGCAAGCATGCACACTCGTGTGTGACATACACACAGGAACCACACATCTCAAAGAACTTCCAGTTACAGGTGAGTAACCACCTCTTTCTAGAATTTGTGTTGTTCTGTTAAATTTACTTAAACCGCACAGTTCACATTTTCCTTAGTAACTAACATTACTTTTTAATTTCCTTCCTAGAGAGGTAGAAGTGGTGTTTTAGTGTATACATACAATCTCTGCTAAATTTATTGTTTTGGATTTTTTGGTTGAGGGTAGGTTTTGCCGCTTCCCTGCAGGACCGTTTCCTGATAATGGCAGCAGAAATGGACCAGGCTTCTGGAGCAGGCATACCAGAATTAGCTCAGTTTTGGAAAGAAGTCCCTAGAAACAAAGTGATGGAACATAGGTAAGCATATAGTTGGCTTAAAGGCTTTCTTATGTGGGTTTTGTATTCTAATTTCTCGTATTTGTGCATTATCACCAGTATTAAGGATTCTACAAGTTGAATTATGCTCTTGGTGACCCCTGTTCATCCCCATTGCCTGCAGTGGGTTTTAAAGGTAAAATTGATTGGGACTTAGTTTGTTATTGATGCATAAGCTGTAGTAGAACTGAACTCTCACACTGTTAAGTGTTAACATGAGTAAGCAGCAGTAGGAAAAATTATTTTTGTAACAAAAGTGAACAGATGTTACTGCATAGACAGAGTAGATATGCTGAGTAAGAAAGTGCTATTTTTATAAAATCACTTTTTAGATTAGAACTGCAGTTCAACATTCTCTTGATAGTGGGTTTTGGGGTTTTGTTTTTTTTTTGTTTTGTTTTTGAGGGAGGGCAGGGTGATATAATTTCTTAGGTGTTTTCTAAAGAGCAAATAGAAGAATTAGGTAATATAGAAATTTTCTAGCCAACGCTAGAATGCTCTTTCCCCCATCAGACGTGCACTGGTAGAAATGTCTCCTGCAGAGCCACCAGACCCGCTTTACTGAGCGTATATCTTAATCCATGATGCAAAGCTTCTCCAGAACTCCACTTTATTTCATGCACACCTTAATTACCTTTACTAACAACTGCTCTTCTACATATTTTTGAAAAAATATGTTATGCATAACATAACATACACTTTCACTTAGAACTTTCAGAATTTAGCTAAATCCAAATCAGTTTTCACCAGGATAACAAAAAGCATATCTCATAACATTAGTTCTCTAGTAGAAAACAGAGCTGGAAAATTTCATCCTACAGTGTGAATGTTGGAAAAAATTAACAGCAATTAAAGTAAAGTCTGGAGGATGGAAGCACTTGGCTTCAATAAAACTGGCAAGTTTGTTAGGGCATTACAAACTAAGATCTCTCTTCATTATATGTTTCCCCCCTCTTTACTGAAATTCATGTTTTACTAAATTGCTTCTTTGTGTTTAATTAAATCTGTTTTTCCAGCTCATATATGTTTGAGATGTGAATGTTGAACCTAACCATGTAATTCAAAATGATACATAGATGCTCATAAGAGAATATCTTATGATAATTAAGCAGTTTGTAAATGCAACCATTAGGTAAATTTTCTGTTGCTATGTCATTCAATAAACTTATTCTTTCTGGAAAGTATAAAAGCAATGTCACTTTTCAAGGAGTTGTGGGATTATTTCTCACATTTTAGCTGCTTTTTTTCAAAATACAAATCGTGTAAGGGTAGATTCTTCCAAAATCCCCAAAGAAAAGAATAAAGTTCTATATAGGAAAACATGACACAATTTTTAGATCATTTTTGTTTACACATACTGGAAAGGTAAACTGTGTGCATTTGCACATTGAATTTGTAAAGTGTAAATAAATGCTTTCTTGCGTAGACACTGGTATTTTGTTAGGGTAGGCCATTGAGCAATAGTGAGAAATTGCTTGACTTTATTAAAGCTGCCACAACAGCCTTCAAGGGATACTTGACTAATAAACCAATACAAATGAATGCACCAGGAAGCAAGACGTTCTGAAATGTGCTTGATCCAGTAATGTGGAATGTGGCATGTAGATTTATACAGTGCTGACCTTTTCGTTTTCAAGGAAACCTATATCAAGTGCAGTAGAGCATGTCATTATTGCCCACCTAAAGTCATGCATTGTTGTTTGAATATTTATAGACGCAGATGAATAGCTCCATCTTGCTAAGTCCTCTCCCAGAGGAAGCCAGTTAGCATTTTGTTTTTTCAAAAACAAGTTATTCCAAAGCATTCTGTCCTTTTTATTCTGCTTTATTCTTCTCTCAAAAGTTTTAGTATTTCCATTCTTCTCACATAAGAAGACTGAAAGTCTCATGATAAGCTCGTCTCCCCGCCCCCCAGAAAATAAATGCATCCATCTCTTCTCTAATGGGCTTAAATGTTTCCAAATTGGTTCCTGCTGTGTTTTTATAAAATGCTTTAATTTTCAATATCATGTGTGACATCAAATGCATGCACTGGTTATTTTTTCTCAAGTAACTTTTTTCTAATCTTGTTATTGTAAATGATGTCTTGAAGCTGGTAACTAAGTATATTTAGGCATGCTTTGAAATTCTGTTTCTGCTTTCTCTGAATATTTTATACTTAACATAAATGAAACAACATTTCTTTGGTATTGAATCTTGGGTTATAATCAGCTATATAGTGTATGTAACAGTAAGATTAAAAGCATAAAGGTAAGTGATATATTCTGAGGCAGTGGTTCTCAACCTGCGGCCTGTGGGCCACTTGCGGCCCAATCAGCATACAGCTGCGGTCCATGTGACAGCCTCAGGGCCACACCTGTAGTGTGTGTGTGTGTGTATGTATATATATATATATATGTGTGTATATATATATGTATATGTGTATATATATATATGTATATGTGTATATATATATATGTATATGTGTATATATATTTATTTATTTATTTTGTGTGGCTGCAGTCCAAATAACACGCAAAGAGCTGCAAATGTGACCAACCCAACAATGGTAAACAGGTTGAGAACCACTGTTGTACGGGATTATTCTGTTCCTGTTCCTGTTGTGCCTTCATACTTCAAAAGCTGTCACATGTAACCATGGTATTTTGGACATGATCCATCTCCTGTCTATTTCATTGGGGTCAGAATCATATCTTTGATAAGAATGTTGTATTGAACCATTCAGTGGTAAAATAATTGAACTGTAATATGTTACGAATAGTGTGTTTTAGGATTTTTGTCCTTTAAATGTTTTTTTGTTTTAGTTAAAACAGACTTTATAATAATATTGATAAACTGCATTTAAATTTTCACAGGTTAAGATGTCATGTTGTAGAAAGTAGCAAGCCTTCTACTCTGACATTAAAAGAGAATTCATTTAATATTCCTACAAAAACCAATGAAGATTTACACTTACAGGTAAGAGAGTATTCTTTCATACAAAATGGTCATTGAACTGAATTATAGATTAATAGCTTGCCGTTATAAATGGCAGTAGAAGATTTAATGAAATAGTACAAAACAAGTTCAAAACTGAAAATATTTTCAATGGAGGAATTGAATGCTTCAGAGTAACTGTAAACCAAATACAGTGGCATAATTATTTTAATTATTCTTGATATGAACTCCCCTACATTTTCCACTTCCAACACACTACTCTCATTCTTTTTATATGTATTAGGCCTGGTCTACACTGGGGGGGGAGATCAATCTAAGTTACGCAACTTCAGCTACGAGAATAACGTAGCTGAAGTCGACATATCTTAGATCGACTTAGAATCACTTAATTCACGTCCTCGCGGCGCGGGATTGACGGCCACCGCTCCCCCGTTGACTTTGCTTCTGCCTCTCGCCATGGTGGAGTTCCGGAGTCGACGGAAGAGCGATCGGGGATCGATTTATCGCTACCCGCCGATCCGGCGGGTAGTGTAGACATACCCTTATATACCTCAAGTAGTAGAATTGCTAAGTGACCCTATCTGTCGATTAGTAGAAAAGTGTCATTTTTTTATATACATACATAGACATATCTATCTGTCTATAGATCAAGATAGAATTGCTTATACCTCTGAAATAATATCTTCTACAGATGTGATCCAAATTATGGGAGCACACTGTGATAGAGGAATTCTTGAAGATTTTTTGTGTGTATCTTATAAAATATACTGTTGGCTAATTTAGTATTGTAACTGCTTCTCAGAATTACCTACAGGTAAAATCACTAGAGATAGGAGAGTTCATTCAGTAAAAAGCTGTTTAATATCATATAACCTGTTTTTCTTTTCAGCTAACTCAATTATTACAGGTTAATAGAAGACTTCAAGAGCAGATTGATCGCTGTGTCTGGTTCCAGCAGCTAATAGTTGTATTAGCATTGTTCTTAGTTGCTATTGCTGCCTTTTGCTTCTTCCTGTTGTACACTCAGAGATGCTAAACAGCAATGCTTTGCACTACACGTGCCGGCTGTGTTAATCAGTTTGAAAAGAGAGAGAATCCAATGCTGCTCCATTAAACCCTGAAACTACCAAAAATGAGAGAGGTCTGTACTGTGAAGTACAATGTTGAGTCATACTATTTGCTGTTAGAAGAAGAAACGAAAGACCAACAAGAGCTCGGAAATTTACTGAGACTGTCTTGACACTTACAGTACAGGAAAAAGAGGATATTAAAAGAGCTAGGAGCTATGTTCACTGGACAAGTTATTGAATATTACCAAACAGAAAAGATGAGTAAATGTAACAATATACCGTAACTTAAAACTACATAGAATATATTATTTTTCTCTTTTTGGTTGAACTACTTTAAATGTCACCTTTTTAGTTTCATTCATGCTCATGCATACAGGATATACTAAAAGGTGCAAGCAGGCTGCTTAAATTTATTTAAAAAAAACAACCTTTTTTCCCCCCCCCCTTTTTTTTTTACAGAATTAAAATTGTTACATAGTACAGGTTAGATTTTTCTTACATGATATGTGTATGTACATAGTATGTATGAAAATAGGGAGACCTGAACCTATAGTACACAGTAATTAGATGGTCGTTCCTTTTGAAATTCAAGAACAGCATCCTTATCATGGTTAAGTCTTTATTTTTGTTTTTTTTGGAATGTAAAATTATTGTATAAATATTTCATGCCAAACAGTATACACAGTAAATCAGTTTGTAGCCGTATTCCCCAGAAAAAATGCCTGCCATAATTCCGAAGACATTTGATAAAAATACTTTTGTTGAGACGCTGTCCTAATTAATTATAGATATTTTGTTTTATTAATTTTTCTTACTTTAATGTTTACTAATTTCACATTGTTGTGGAAGGAACTCTTTATACAAACTCCAAAGCATCATGCTGTTAAGTAGGTCAGCAATAGTCAACTGCATGATTCATATAAAAGCTAAAAATCAATGTAAAAAACATTTCTGACAGAGGTGCAATCATTCAATCATGCATGGAATATTTGGAAGAAACAAGCCAGATCAGGAAAAGATTGGGTATATTAGATGGACTATGAAAAATACAGTATCTGCTGCTTCTTTGAAAGCATTTTCGGAATGCTATATAAAATGAGTGAGAATTTATTCTAGCAAATATTCTTTGTACTCATTTCTGTAAATATTTATATTGAAATGATCTAAAAATTAAAAGCCTAAAAGGAGACATGGTATCTTTCATAAATTTTTAAGCCCCCCCCCCCCCCTTTTTTTTTTTTTTTTTTTTTACTGACCTTTTATAATAAATGCTTGAAACTTAAAACTGAAATCTGGTTCTTGTTTTCACCACAAATTGGCTTGTCCGGATAAGTCTCTTCATTAGTGCTGGGCCGATGACTTTGATTTTTTTTAATCGATTAGAAAAGATCATTGCAGAGTTCATGTTATATTTTGAATGTACTCTTCCCCCCCAAAAAAACAAATTTAAGGGGGAAAAACAGGACAAACTGGGTGTCAGTGTCTCTTTAATGATTATAGGTGTGGCATCATTGACCTAAAGTAAAAGAAAATTGTTTAAAAAAATTTGATCAGTATTTTATTCTACAAAATTGTAGGTAGTGAACTAATAGACTAATTCTGATGAAGCAGAATATCAATCCAATAAGGTTACTGAAAATTTACTATATAAATGGAAAGCTTCTGCAGGAATACCTTTGTACTTGGTGAGCTATACTGAATTAATTCATACTTCATGTAATTTTATCACAATGTTCTCTTCATTTTTCATTATTCTGGGTTTTGTTCAGCTTGCTTTCTGCTGTTCTTTTATTTTCTATAATATTTAATACATTCCAACATAGGTTACCATTAGCCATATTGTTTAAATTATTTTTCTGTACTTCACATTCCAAATATTTCACTGTCAACAAAGCATTTAATGGAACATCCTCTGGAAAAATAATCTAGAGTTCTGGTAACATACAGTAATTTGTAAATTAGAGACAAGTTTTACTAACTCTGTTTATAAAATGCTTATCACTAATTTTGACTGGATATAGTAGCACTTTATTGTAAAATTGCAAGAAATATATTCTTAGAATCTTTGCCAATATAGATATTCTAATGTTCTGGTGCTTTCATATATTTTCAGTATTTTTAATACTATGTTAGTATTTACTTTGTATAATTGATCAGATGAACATGTTTTCTATTTTAATATGTTTTAGAGGAATAAATGCACTTGTGAAATATAAGGAAAAAATGTGGCATTTACTGTTCAAAGTCTTAAAAAATTGATTGTCGAGTTAAAAATCTGTGGGTTTTGCAGTAGGAGTTTGTCCTTTTAGGGTACAGTTCCTAGCACAATGGGACACCAACCTAGCAATGGCCTCTAGGTACTAGGTTTACCGTGTGTGTGTGTGTGTAATGACTTTTTGGTATCGGATGAACTGGAGTCTTTGCTTTTTTTATGGGTACAATGTGGCTTTCAGTACTGAGACCCTGTGTCCAGGCTACTATCCTCCGGCACTGCAGGACTCTGCACCATTTTCAATGGGTGCCCTCCCACCATAGGATGATGTGAAGAAGGAAACTTCTAAATGGTGGGGTTCCCCAACATATCCCTTCAGGAATACCTTTTCAGCTTGTCAACAGGGAGCATTATATTGGTCACCAAGGGTGGTGGAGCCAATGCTGTATGCCACCTCTACTTGCTGTAAATTGACAGCAATTTACCAAACCACTGGTACTGTCTTACAGGGAGACCAGGGTTATGCAACCTTCACCTCGCCAACCAGCCTCCTCACAGGAGACAGTTGAGGAGCAGGAGGCTAGGCGGATGAAACTCCAAGTCGTCTTTGTTGGCGGACGAGGCGGTTATGCCTCCATTACCTTCCATTGCTGACAACTTCAGACAATTTCAAGACCTCATTAGGATAGCTGCCACTCTTCAGATCCCTTCAAAAAGGTCAAGGTTCCACAATACAAAGTGCTGGATATCTTGCAGTCAGCAACACTCTCCAAAGTGGTGCTACCTATCAGTGAGGCTAAAATGGTGTGGCAAACACCTGCCACTATTCTGCCCCTCCCCCTCTTGTAAAAGGGCGAATAAAAAGTACAATGTTCCCCCCTAAAGATTCTGACTCTTTGTTTTCCTATCTCCTACCTAACTCATTGGTGGTGCATGCAGTAAGTGAATGGGGTAGACAGCATTTTTCTAGGTTTATCCCTTACCATAAGGACTAGAAAAGGCTGGATCTCCTATGGGCGGAAGTCCTATTCATCAGCAACCCTGCAATTTTTGATTGCAAATTAGCAGGCAATCATGGCTAAATACAACCTCACCAATTATAACAGGCCTGTGACCTTTATTGAACAATTGCCACAAGTTCCAGCAGTGTGTCAATTGCAGCAGTTCCAGTCTGTGGTTTCTGAGGGCCAATTAATAGCCAGAACTGCTCTTCAAGCATCCTTAAATGCTGCGGACACTGCTGCCAGATCCATCTCCACAATGATAGGCATGGGGCATCATGACTCCAGCTCTCAGGGTTTCCGAAAGAGGCACAGAACACTGTGGGGGACCTCCTCTTTGACAGTCATAAACTCTTTTAGGAAACCATGAAGTGTCCCTGCACATACTGAAGGACTCGAGAGCTACTTTACAATTCCTGAGTGTATATATATACCTACAAATAAGAGTTTTAATAGATCACAGACTGCCCAGAGGTCACGTTCTGCTCAGTTTTCTGGATTCCATAGAACCTCTGAACCTGCCAGAGAGACAGATTCCAGAGAAAAAGAGCTGCTCAACCACCCTCCTCGGCCACGCAGGCCTCATCCAAGCAGCAGTTTTGATAGGTTGGTCAAGAGTTTGAATCCTCCCATACCTCTGGAGTTATAGTTGCACCCATTGACCCAACTCCCCCTTTGTGGACCACCCTTTCTGTTTTCAGCAAGCTTGGGGACAAGTGGGTCATGGAGGTCATAACATCAGGCTATACCATTCATTTTACATTGCTCCCTCCCTTCCACCTCCATTCCCTGTCCCTCTTCAGGGACCCTTTTCAAAAGTTTATGTTAAGACAACAGTTGGACTCTCTCTCCTCCAGCTAGGAGCAATAGAAACAGTCCCTTCCCCTCACATGGGTGCAAGAGGTTTTACTCAAACTGTTTCCTGGTGTCAAAGTCTTACATCCTCTGTCCTTCTATCTTAGATCTAAGATACTTAAGCAAGGACGTGAACCCTCAAAAGCCTAGGATGATGACTATGGCAACAGTAAGTCCCTTACTGGAGAAAGGAGATTAGTTTTCGGCCCTCTACCTACAAGATGCCTATTTTTCATATATCGATACACACATCACACAGGAAATACCTACGCTTCACCATTGGCCACAATCATTTCCACTAGCGGGTGCTTCCCTTTGGCCTGTCATCATCCCCAAGGGTGTTCTCAAAGGTATTGGCAGTAATGGCAGCTTACCTTCAGCAGGAAGTGATCCTAGTCTTTCTGTACCTCGACAACTGGCTGCTCAAAGGTCTCTCCTACAAAAGTAGTGTTATCCATCCACATGGCCCTTGTTCTGTTCCAGGAATTGGGCCTGCAGATGAATGTGAAAAATCCACATTGACATCTGAACAAAGGATGCAGTTTGTATGGGGCATATTTGGACTCATTGACAGCCGGACCCTCCTTTGTTTGGGCACTTTAGGACATGGCAGCTTGCACCTTTGTGATGGATTACACAAGGCTGCATTTTTTATGCTTCCAAGGTTGGCTCTGATCAACCTACTCCCCAGTCAGGGATACCCTGGACAGGCTGTGATGGTTCCCCTGCAAGTTTTTTTTTTTTTTTTTTAAAAACCCTCCCTAAGCTGGTGCAAATCAGTGTCTGTGTGGGCATACTTTTCTGTTGCCTCACCCATCAGAGACTTAAACAACCAATGTATCCCTGTTAGGATGGGGAGCCCATCTCAATGCCATCACAGTTCAGAGCAGGTGGACAATCCAGGAAACAGATCTACATATCAGTCTATTTCAGGGCTGTCCGGAATGCTTGCAGTCATTTTCTACCCCTCATCAAGGACAAATCAATCAGAGTCATGATGGACAACATATCCTGCGTGTTCTACATCAACAAGCAGGGAGGAACAAGGTGCCCCATGCACGGAAGCAATGAAGCTATGGAACTGGTGCATAACCCATCAGATCTGTATTCCAGTTGTCCACTTCACAGGCATTTGGAATGCCACAGCCAATGCCCTCAGCAGACACTTCTCACAGTACTACGAATGGGAGTTGGACACAGATTCTCCACAGCATATTCCAAAGATAGGAACTGCCACAGGTTGACCTTTTTGCTTCCTCAGAAAACAAGAAATGCCCTCTTTTTTTTCTCCTCACCACTTCTTAGGAGACACCTTCCTTCCTTGTTGGAAGGAAGGGTTTGTTTTATGTTTTCCCCCA